TTTATGTGGACCAATGCCATGTCAATCGTTAGGAGGATCTAAGTATTTCCTTGTTATAGTAGATGATTACAGTAGAAGAATCTTTGTATATTTCCTGAGATCAAAAGATGAGACCTTTGAAAGATTTGAAGAATTTAAAGCAAGAGCTGAAAACGAATTAAGTCTTAGAATAAAAGATGTAAGAACGGACAATGGAACTGAATTTTGTAACTCTAGATTTGAAGGACTTTTCAAGAGAAGTGGGATCCATCACCAACTTACCACCACATACTCACCACAAAGTAATGGAGTCGCAGAGAGAGTGAATAGGACTCTTATAGATACAGCGAGAACCTTACTAATTGACTCAAAATTACCCATGATGTTTTGGGCAGAGGCAATTGCTACAGCTGCATACATTAAGAATTGTACACCCCACAGGTCTATCAAGCAAAATACACCTATGCAGAGATGGAATGGCAGGAAACCATCGGTCAAACACATTCGAATATTTGGATGTTTGACACATTGGCTTGAGAGCAAACCAAGAAGAAACAAGTTTTCACCAAAGGGTAGAAAGGGAATATTTATTGGTTATTCCATTAAAAGAAAAGCCTACAGAATATATGATATAATGACAAAGAGAATCCATGAAGTCAGATCAGTAAAATTTAGTGAAGATAAGAGAGGAATTGATTATGCAAATGATATTCAGGAAGATACTAATTGTGATAATTTGACCTATAAAGGAAATTGTGAAGAAATAGTTGCTGAAGACTTTCTTATCTTGAAAGAAGACAATCCTGTCACAGAGAGTAAAATGAAGTCTCAGGAGGATACTTCAGTAAAACTAGGTGGTGACTGTGAAAATGACTCATCACAAACTGAACCGATACAGGAAAGATGTGTAAAAGGAGGAAGAAAGAAAGGAGAAACAAAGAGCATCTTAGAAGAACGGCACAAAGCAAGACTTGAAGAACAAGAAAGGAAATTGATTGAAGAAGGAGTTCGACGCTCACAAAGAATAAAGGATAGGAATAATGCAAACTTAATTATGGAAATTGATCATTATATTCCGGAGAACTTTAAAGAAGCAATGGATAGTGGAGAAAGAAATGAATGGCACAAAGCAATGGAAGATGAGCTCAGTGAGATAGAGAAACATAAAGTATGGACACTAGTACCAAGGGAAAATGGTATGAAAGTCATCAATAGTAAATGGGTCTACAGTACGAAGAAAACACCAAGTGACGGCATATATAAACGAAAGGCCAGACTGGTTGCTGTTGGATGCAATCAAAGATATGGTGTGGATTATAAGGAATCTTTTTCACCTGTACTCAAAAAGGAAAGCTTGCGAACAATAGTAGCTCTTGCAACACAACAGAATTTAACCATAAAGACTTATGATGTGAAGACAGCTTATCTCTATGGTGAGTTAAAAGAGACAGTATACATGAGACAACCAGATGGTTTTATACAAAAAGGAGAAGAAAACAAAGTGTGTAAATTGGAAAAAAGCCTGTATGGTCTACCACAATCAGGAAAATGTTGGAACAAAAAGATCAATGAAATTTTATACCAGTTGGGAATGATTAGAACCAAATGTGATCCATGTGTCTATAAACTCCAGAGAGGAGAAGAGTATGCAATACTGGGTCTATATGTAGATGATCTCATCATTGCTGGAACTAGTAAGGAAATTAATGACAACCTAGCCTCAGAAATAGAAAAATATGTTACTCTAACAGAAAAGAAAGATAGCGAACCATTTATTGGAATTGAAATAAAAAGGGAAGAAGATGGATTTTATCTATCTCAGACTCTTTATGTTGATACTATTCTTCACAGATTTGGACTGGAAGAATGCAACAGTGTGCAGACACCTGGAGATCAAAATCAAAATTTGGATGAATATTTGGACTCTAAGCCAGTAGATAAAACTGTATACCAGGAAATGATTGGATCACTAATGTACCTTTCTACGGGTACTCGACCGGACATATCCTTCAACGTCAGCAATTTATCACAGTATAGTAATGATCCAAGAGAAATACACTTAACTGGAGTTAAAAGGATTTATAGATATCTGAAGGGAACAAGAGATAACACGTTGGCATATAAGTCAAAAGACAACAATATCACAATAAGTACTGATGCGAGCTGGTGCACAACCCGAGACGCAAAATCCTATTCAGGCTATACAGTCAAACTTGGCAACAACTTAATAAACTGGAGAAGTAGAAAGCAAAATTTAGTAGCCTTGTCTACATGTGAAGCAGAACTTATTTCAATATGTGAAGGCATTTCAGAAGTATTATGGTTAAAGGGATTACTAGAAGAAATTTGTGAAAATTTAACTTTCCCAATTACCTTGAAAAGTGACAGCCAGGCTGCAATAAACTGGATACAATCTGACAAGATTACTTCACGAACAAAGCACATAAACCGAAAGTATTATTTTGTGAAAGAGGAAATTCAAAATGGAATCAAGCTGGAATACACTAAAAGTGAAGACATGGAGGCGGATATACTAACGAAGAGTCTACCTAAGGACAAACTACGGAAATGTGCAGATAGCCTTGGACTTGCTGATTAGGGCTTACACACAGGGGAGCGTGTGTTGTACATATTTTAATTATTTGTTACCACAGAGTGTGTGTAAGCTCACGGGTAAATAGGCGCTAAAAAACAAGAAAAAAGAGTTCCTTTTTTTTCAATATAAGTTTCCTTTTTATATTTTGTTATCTCTCTTGTTAATCAATAAATATAATGTTTAATTAATAATTATTGGAATCAGTTTCATTAATAATACTAAGCAAAGTCAACACTTTTCCTATTTCTAAACTAAAATTTAATAATAATTTCAACACAAATCAGCAAATAAATTCATTAAAAGAGAACTGTCTCCATAATTGAACCAGAAAATGTCAAATGTCGTTGGTCCGGCCCAGAATTCAAAGTATCCTCCCACGTTCAATCAATGTTTCAGTGTGGGCGAAACCCAACCGGGCAACACTAAAGCAACAAAATCAATTGTTAACCTTTTGACCCAATTTTACTATTTTTTAAAATTTACCAGCTTATTGCATTTTAGCTGTTAATCTGGCACCTAGGATATCAGCCGCTTATCTGACATTTTTCCAAAATATGAACAAAAAAATAGAATTACATAAGCGCTCTGGATAATTAGAATTTTTTGAAATTTTTCGGATTTCTCTTTTAATTTGAGCTTCCTTTAATTTTCAGTTTTTTTCGTTCCTTCTCTTTCTCTAATTATAATTTAACTACCATATTTTTCTTTACTTTTTTCTAATATATATATATTTATTGAAACTCGAGAAATCCATCCATTTATTTGGAATATTTTTTCTCTGAACGTGTGTTTTCGCGCGCGATCAAAAATATTATTAAAACAGAAATTTAAAGCCAAGTCTTAATTAAGTAAAGAAATGGAAAAATCTCTTATAAATAAAAATTGCTTCTTTTTTTATCCATTTGTCGTAATAAATATCAAGTAATGTGGTTTAAATTATTCTCCAATATATTGGCCTAAATACTCTTTTATAAGAAATTTAAACTATTTTTAAACTAGTTTTGACAAAACTTAAGGAAGTGGAAAGTATTTAATGTCGCTGGTCGTCTGTCTTTTTTTTTTTTTTTTTTTTTTTAAGATGGAGGCAATTTTGTTCACAAAGCAATAACGCGCCATCTATACATATAAAATAAAAGGATTAAAAAGCGCGAATGTTTCTTTTATACATAAAACAAACTTCTACTGTCCTTACTGCGATGAAAAATATATTGGGAGGGCTTGGCTCATCAGTGGTGAACCCTCCCAGCGGTTTCGCCAATTTAATCCACCAATTTGTTCACACTTGGTTATCTCGTGTGTTGTCAATAAATGTCACTGTAATATCTTTCAGAGTTATTGTCTGAATACCGATATACATGCTAAGAGGTGCTTACGGGTGTATAAAATTAAAATAGGGATATGTTTGAAATTATTTTAGATAAATCTTTTTTTTTTTTAACTTTTAAATTTTTCATAAAATAATGACTAGCTAATGTATTTTCTATTTTAATGTTGCCGAAAGTAGTACGTCTTTCAAGATATTGTGAGGTAAACACAGAAGAAGACACACAATATGGGAACGCCTGGTGGAAGATGGTGAAGCGAATACAATTCACGATGTGTGTGTGTGGAAGCTGTAGCAAGAGTTTTTTTTTTTATTCTAGTAGGTTAACATATAGGCTATTTAAAGCCTATACAAATTATCTCAACACTACACAAACACAAAGCCTTTATTAAGACACCAGTCTTATACAGATTCTTCTCTCTCATTTCCGACTTACAACGATATCCTCACGATGGTCAATCACCATCATGTAGTGGAGGAGATAAATCCAAGTTCTTTTTCCTACTTACTGCTTTGTAAAAATTGCAAAGGAACAGAGCAACCATTCGACTTGATATGGCGCTTGTTAAAATACTTTGCACTGAGTTAAGTTGGCTGTCGTTTACTTTTGAAATGAACATCTCTCTTTCTTGGATAATACACTGGCACTCAAATAATTAGTCCAATACCATATTAATCTGCATATATTGAGTTTAAACTAATGATGATATATTGTGCTTCTAAATTCTGCGGTTTTATATGGGAGTCGCTGGACGAGGGATTATAAACCGTCGATTTCCTACAGCCACTATCCGGGTTCGAATCCCGCATTGGACACTTTTTTTCTGAATAAAAAATTAATCCAATGGCTCCCAGTTCTTCCAAAAGTGAGTGCAACTTACCAAAAGGGGTTATGGCACATTTGAAACTTCAAAAGTCGAACTATATGGAACGCTTCACGATTTTGTGTGTCATCCTTGTACAGAGGCCATGCTAATCTTCTCTGTATCGTTCCAATTAATATATACAGTTATCAGCGTCATAATCAATTCTTTCTTAATCGATTCTGTCACCGTTTGCTGTGTGAATGGAATAAATACCCAAATATGGCCATTTCTCATAACCATCGGTGGTTCAGTGGTAGAATGCTCGCCTGCCACGCGGGCGGCCCGGGTTCGATTCGGCTAGTTTTAGTATATGTACCGCCGAACAAGCGAGTACACTGATTTCTATATGTATAGACATGTGATGCACTTACAGTAAACGCAGTCACCAACTACTACCCACCATGATTATGTGGGATGACGACCATGTACAAGGGATAATATTTAACAAAATATTTCATATTTTCGGCTATAAAGTTTTATCATCTTGAATCTTCGGGAATAATTAAAAAATCAAATATTAGTGATATTTATTCCAACAAATGGCGCAAGCCATCAGAAACTTTTAGTTGCATGATCAGGAGATGATTTTCTCTTAATTTTTGAATAAAGGTTTCTATATGAAAAAGTGAATATAGAAATTATATTTATTTTGTTTGTCAAGTTGTATGAAAACTTCTTCATTCTAAGATTAGTATTTGTTTGCATTTTGACAGCCGTGTATTACTTTTAATTATTTTAGCTTTATAATCGCTCCGAATTTCCGCAGAATTATACTGTTTATAGGTAGATAATCTTTGATATTTCCTTCTCCTTTTTAAAGAACTTTCGGATAATTGTATTTCTAAAAACAAGGTACGCCAGTGATCTTGTTCGTATATCGAAGGCTTTCCAGTCTTTATTGTATGGTCCATTGCGTAATCATAAAAACTGGGTGGCCATAAATATAATAATTTGTCTAATTATGATTATCTGATTAACCCACAAGTTTTTGGAGAGTAGGAATGTCCCAAATACTTGGTGATAATTATATCCCTTTGTTAGTGTAAATGAAAAGGGACATTTTGGATTATTTTGTAACGTTTCGGTAACTTTTGTCTGATGTGATGTGTCTTTTGTCTGATTTGTCGGTAACAGTGTTGTTACCGAAACGTCACAAACATTTCATTAATTTGGATTTAGTCTTGTTACCTTATTTTTATGTTATATATATACTGAGATGGAAAATAAAATCCGAGCATCGTGAAATAATTGAAATCAATAATATTATTAAATGTGTTTGCGTGCGCGGGTTTCGAAAAGGAAGACTACGTCTCGAAATTTTATAATCAAAATATAAGAAGCTTTCTAACTTTCTAAAGAATCCGTTTGGGCTCGTAAATCCTTAACTTTGGTTAGTAGCCCGTAAAACCTTATTTTTTCTCTCGTTCTAAAGACTATACGTCCCCAGTCAGGGCAGTTCCAAATTGATCGCTCCCGACACCACTGTAGTCGGACTTGTCAGGATACAGGAGTGAAGGATATATTTCGTAAGGGACGGTGAAGTCTTAGATTCCGCTCTCTCTGTCTTTTGATGGTCATTTTGGGCACTTGTGTGCCGGTTACTCGTTGGATAATAGTGTCAAATCCGGTGCTGCGACAGCCATTCTGACAATCATTCTGTTCTCCCGTTCTGTTGTGTTCCGATGTCGACCGCTGCCGTCCTGATGTTGCATTCTTGGGTTGTTGACCCACTTTTGCCAACATTGTCTAATAGCAGCATCACTTCGATGCAGATGTCGCGCGTGCGTTGTTATCCAAGACGAGGCAAGATTAACTAAGCATTAGTTTATTTCCTATTATCTTATATCTGTCATATACAAGTCAAAAGAGATCACTAGCAGAGTATTATTCCTTTTGGTTTCCAGAGCTCAACATTCTATGAGCCTAATACTCTGCACATCTCCTCCCTTATCTTTACAGGAACCTTCGAGGTATCTTGACTGCCCTTCCACATCTTGTATGCACGGCTGGCATTGAAGGGAGGCTCTTCTCTGGATCCTGGTCTTGGTTGTCCCTCTGCATCCTTCCATCTCTTTTAGATGAGGCCGTTGGTGTAGGGCAATCCTCCTCGGTCTCTTGCTCCTGGTCATCCTGGTCATCCTCAGAAGCATCCATGGTACTTCCCATTTTTGGTAGAGGTGTGAGGTGGAGTCTGTTTCGCCTAACTTTTCCTTGGGGAGTTTGTACCCAATAGGAACGCGGTTCTTCGGATTTGTGAAGAACTTTTCCTTTTACTCTTTGATCTCTAATCCAAACGCTGTCCCCTTGTTGAAGCGGAGGCAAGCTATGTACATCGTGTCGTTTATCATATAGGCGCTTCTGGTTGATCACCCTCCTTTTCTCTCTTTCTTGCAAAGCTTCTGAGTCCAAGTACCTGGGCATCAGTGATGATTCTATTGCTGGAACAGAGGTCCTAAGGCGTCGTCCCATTAATAGTTCAGCTGGACTATAACCACTTTCCAGGGGCATCGTTCTATATGCTTGAAGAGTCAGATAGCAATCTTCTTCTTTCTTAAAACTTTGCTTTATATTCTTGATAATTGCTTCAATAAATCCATTGCTTTGTGGGAATTTCGGGCTGGATGTGATATGTTTGAAAGACCATTCCTTAGAAAATTTTGAAAATTCGGAACCCAGAACTTTTTGGAATTGTGGTCCATTATCGCTTCTAACAGTCTCAGGTGTTCCATGCCTAGCAAATATAGATTTAAGACGGCCTATTACTTCTTGAGCAGTTAGATTTTGTAAAAGTGATATTTCTGGGTACCTGGAATAGTAATCACATACAATTAGATACCATCTCCCATTTAGATAAAAGAGATCCATTCCGACTTTTTGCCAAGGTCTGATCGGAAATTCTGAGGGCATCAAAGGTTCATGCTTGGGTTTTCTCTCCTTCAAGCATTTTGTACACGACGAAACCTTCCTTTCAATCTCTTGGGAAATTCCTAACCACCAAACCGATTCTTTTGCTCTAGATCTGCATTTATTGATCCCAAAATAACCTTGGTGCAGTTTCTCAAGGATATCTTTCCTCAATGTCTTAGGGATTAGAATTCTTTGTCCTCTAAGAAGAAGACCATTCTGATAGGTCAGGTCCTCCTGAAATTGCCAGTATCCTCTTAGTTCTGGATCTACTTCTCTTTTATTCTTAGGCCATCCACTCATACAGTATTTAGCCAATTGAGAGCAAAGTGAATCTTCCTTTTGCTTTCTAGAAATCTCCAAAAGTCTTTCTTCTGTTGCTGGAAATTCAATGGATTGGATGTACGCAGAAAGTTCTTCTTCCAATTCATCTTTATGTGGTTTAGACATAGGCTTCCTTGATAACATATCAGCCACTATTTGCTTTTTGCCAGCAATGTGAGTTATTTGATAAGAATACCTCATCATCCTCATTTTTAATCGCTGAAGTCTGGGAGTCATGTCTTCCAAGGATTTGGACGTAAAGATGGCAATCAGTGGTTTGTGATCTGTTTCAATATGGATTTTAATACCTGTAACATAATCCTTTAGTCGTTCACAAGTCCATACTATAGCCAGTCCTTCTTTTTCAATTTGGCTGTATCTTTTTTCCGTTTCTGAAAGTGTTCTAGATACATAAGCTATAGGTTTTAAAGATCCATCAGGTTGTTCTTGTCTTAGAACACCACCTATTCCAAATGAAGAAGCATCAGCCGATACTATGGTCGTTCTTGAGGGATCAAATAAAGCGAGGTTAGGTCTAGATACTAACTCTTGTTTCAGTAGGTTAAAGCTCTTTTTCTGAGGTTCATCCCAAACCCACTCGTTTTTTGTACTTAGTAACGAATTCAAGGGTTGTAATTTATCCGCAAGGTTGGGAATGAATTTTCCTAAATAATTCACCATGCCTAAGAAAGACTTCAATTCTTTTGTTGATCTAGGCGCCTCCATTTTTGTAATAGCATCGAGCTTTTCTTCGTCAATGAATAAGCCTTCTGAACTCAATGTGTGTCCCAGGAATTTTACAGTTTTAACTCCAAATTGACACTTTTCTGGGTTGAGTGTCATCCCTTCTTCTTGAATTTTCTTCAAAACTTGACGTACCCTTTCGTTATGTTCTTCTAAGGAAGATCCGTATACTACAATATCATCCATGAAGCATACAACCCCTTCTATATTGCCCAGAAGCTGAGTCATCTTTCTTTGAAAGATTTCTGGTGCAGACGTTATTCCAAATGGGATTCTTTTGAAAAAGAACCTGCCGAATGGCGTTATAAAGGTGGTTAGTTTTTGGGATTCTTTAGCTAACCCAAACTGCCAAAATCCAGAATTTGCATCTAGCTTGGAAAAATAGCAAGCATTTCCCAGCTGTCCCAGGATATGCTCTGTCGCAGGTAGCGGATAATTTTCTCTTCTTATATACTGATTTAGCTTCGTTAAATCAACACAAATTCTTATTTTTCCTCCTGGTTTCGATACTGCAACCATTCCCGCACACCACTCAGTCGGCTCTTCTACTGATTCAATGACTCCTAGCCTGGTCATCTCTTCAAGTTGTTCCTTTACCTGTTTCATTAAGGGAATTGGAACTCTCCTAGGGGTGCATAAAGCATATGGTTTCGCATTTGGTTGTAGGTATATTTTGTAATTTATTTTAGCATGTCCTAAACCATTAAATATTTTTGGAAACTCTCTTTTTGGATTTAAAAAATTTGATGATAATTGCTGAATCATTCTCACAATGTTTAATTTTTCACTTGTTTCCCCAGAGAGAAGTGGCTGCTTTAGTTTATCAACAATGTATATTTTCGAGTTTAAGTGCTGGCCTTTATTTTGAAGTTTTACGTGGATCATTCCCACTGTTTCCAAGGGTATTCCATTTGGACCTTGTAATACTTTATCAGATTTTTCCAGTTTTATTCTTTGGAAACTTTGATAATAATATTGTAGGGGGAGCACGTTGACATCAGCTCCGGTGTCAATTTTAAAATTAACTTGTCTATTATTTACCTTAATTGGTACTATCCATTTCTTAGAATTATCTTCTACAGATCCCAGAAAAGCTATCTCTGATTTTATTTCATTTATAGCTTCTGATCTACATACTTTGGCATAATGGCCCTTTTTCATGCATTTATTACAATACGAGTTCATAGCTGGACAAATTTTCCAATCATGATTATTTGAATTGCCACACCTGGTGCATCCATGTGATGACCCTCCCAACTGGTTTGACTTGAATTGTCTTATTTTTGGTTCGTGCCTTTTTGTTTCTTTTATATGATTAGGCATTTTCTTTATTTGAT